GGTTTGAGACCAGTCTGACCAACATGGTGAAACCCTGTCTCTACAAAAAATACAAAAAAAATTTTAGCCAGGTTTCATGGTGTGTGCCTGTAATCCCAGCTACGTAGGAGGCTGAAGCAGGAGGATGGCTTGAACTGGGGAGGCAGAAGTTGCAGTGAGCCAAGATCGCGCCATTGCACTCCAGCCTGAGTGACAGGAGTGAAAGTCCATCTCAAGGAAACAGGTACAAAGCTCTCAAAGCAAGAAAGAGTTTACCAAGTTACAAGAAAAAAAAAAAGAAAAAAAAAATAAAAATAAAAAAAAAAAAAAAAAAGGCATAATACTCATTGTAATTGCATATTTTCTTATAAATATATAACTATCCCCAACATATTCCTGTATTATATTTTATTTTTAAAAGTTTGTTATTGTTTTGGTCTAAAACAATATACTTCATAAGAAGAAACAGTGGTTACATGTAAGTGCCTGATTATATAAAGAAGCTGTATTACTGCATACCCATTAGAATTACTGCTATTAGAAAAATAGAAAATAACAAGTGTTGAAGAAGAAATGGAGAGACTGGAACTCTTGTCTACTATTGGTGCGATTGTAAAATGGCACAGCCACTGTGGAAAACAATATGGCAGTTCCTCAGAAACTCTCAGAATGACCATATCATTTAACACTTCTTCTGGAAGATACGTTTAAAAGAATTGAAAGCAGAGTCTTGAAGAGATATTTGTACCCACGTATTTATAACAGCATTCTTCACAATAGACAAAGGGTGGACACAACCCAATGTCCATCAATGGATGAACGGATAAGTAAAATGTGGTAAATACATACAATGGAAGATTATTTAGCCTTAAAAAGTGACGAAATTTGGACACATGCTATAAGGTGGTTGAACCTTGAAGACACTGTGCTAAGTGAAATACAGCAGTCACCAAAAGACAGATACTTTTTTTTTTTTTTTGAGACAGAGTCTCTCTCTGTTGCCAGTTTGGAGTGCAGTGGCACCGTCTCAGCTCACTGCAGCCTCCACCTCCCAGGGTTCAAGCAATTCTTCTGCCTCAGCCTCCTGAATAGCTGGGATTACAGGTGTCCACTACAACGCCCAGCTACTTTTTGCATTTTTAGTAGAGACAGTGTTTCACCATGTTGGCCAGGGTGGTCTCAATCTCCTGACCTCATGATCTGTCCACCTCTGCCTCCCAAAGTGTTGGGATTACAGGCGTGAGCCACCGCACCTGGACAAGACGGATTCTTTATATGAGGTATCTAGAGTAGTCAGACTCATAGAAACAGAAAGTAGAATGGTGAGTTCCGGCGCCTGAGGAGAGAAGGGGGATTGTGGCTTAATGGGTGTAGAGTTTCAGTTTTACAAAATGAAAAAGGTTTGGAGACTGGTTGCACCATAATATGAGGATATTTAACACTATTAAACTGTACACTTAAACATGGTTAGGATAAGCAGATGCAGTGGCTCACGCTTGTAATCCCAGAACTTTGGGAGGCTGAGGTGGGTGGATCACCTGAGGTCAGGAGTTCAAGACCAGCCTGGCCAACATGGTGAAACCCCATCTTTACTAAAAACTACAAAAATTAGCCAAGTGTGGTGGTGGGTGCCTGTAATCCCAGCTACTCTGGAGGCTGAGGCAGAAGACTTGCTTGAACCTGAGAGGTAGAGGTTGCAGTGAGCTGAGATCATGCCATTGCACTCTAACGTGGGCAACGAGAATGAAACTCCTTCTCAAAAAAAAGAAAGAAATGTGGTTAGGATAGTATATTTTATGTTGTATGTATTTTACCAAAATTAAAAAAGAAGTTATAAGTTAAAACAAGACCAAGTACACAATTACAGTCTTACATCCGTAGTAGGAGTGGGCCGGGAAGAATAGAAAATTCCCAAAGGCCCCTTAAAATACACTGGCGAGATACTACTTAGCCCAGGGCCTGGTGGCTAGGCTGGCTCTCTCCTTTCCAATCGGATGCCTCTGCCGCAAACGTGCTCTGCCAGATCATCGGTCAGGCCAGGAAGCATCCGAGCTTGATGCCCCTCTTTGTATTTACTGGAGCTGGAGGCACTGGAACAGCACTGTATCTCTTGCATCTGGCATTGTTCAATCCAGATGTTAGTTAAGACAGAAAGAATAACCCAGTGTCCTGGAACGAACTGAGTCCCGATGATCAATGCAGGTTCTACTCAGTCAATGTGGATTATAGCAAACTCAAGAAAGAAGCTCCAGATTTCTGAATGAAATGTTTCATTATAAAGCTGCTTTAGAATGAAAGTCTTCCAGAAGCCATCCACACAGTTTTCTACTTAACCAGGAAATAGTTCTCCTCTAAATGCATAAAATCATGTTGATGTAATCTATTGGAGATTACACCGATTAATAAATAACTGAAACTTGAAAAGCAAAAAAATACACTGGCAACTACTCTACAGTGCTCCCATCCACCAAATAAACTATTTTCTTTTTTTGAGATGGAGTTTTGCTCTTGCTGCCCAGGCTGGAGTGCTCAGCTGACTGCACCCTCTGCCTCCCGGGTTCAAGTGATTCTCCTGCCTCAGCCTCTTGAGTAGCTGGGATTACAGGCATGGGCCACCATGCCCAGCTATATTTTTATATTTGTAGTAGAAAAGGGTTTCATCATGTTGGCCAGGCTGGTCTTGAACTCCTAACCTCAGATGATCCACCTGCCTTGGCCTCCCAAAGTATAGGGATTACAGGCATGAACCACCGTGCCCCGCTCAAATAAACTTTAGATCTGAGATGCCGGAAGATGCCACTTGGCTCCGATTCTCCAAACTTTGGAATTAAGCCAGGGAAAGAAGTAAAAATGTTTAAAAACATAGTGTTTCCATACAAGACAGTAGGATTTAGGAAGCCCCAGGCTTATCTGTAAACTTTTCCCTCCTTCCAAAGATGAATGCTGTAAGACATTTGTATTATGTAATACTTCAGTACTGTACCGACATCTAGACCAGCTTCTTTCCATTCTGGGGAACAGATGTTCCCTGTTAGTCGTTGTTTTCTAGTGTTTCACTGGTTTTTGGTACCCTTATTTTATTTCTCTAGGATTATTTGTTTTTTAATTCTTTCTTAGAGCAGTTCTTGGTCAAAACTTATGAAAAATCAAATAAATATATGTATACTGAGTTTCCTTTGCCTTATTTTTGTTTGTTTGTTTGTTTGGTTTTTTTTGAGACAGAGTTTCGCTGTCTTTGCCCAGGGTGCAGTGCAATGGTGCGATCTCAGCCCATCACTACCTCCGACTCCTGGGTACAAGTGATTCTCTTGCCTCAGCCTTCTAAGTAGCTGGGATTACAGGCTTGAGCCACCACACCCGGCTAATTTTGTATTTTTAGTAGAGTTGGGGTTTCTCCATGTTGGTCAGGCTAGTCTCGAACTGCTCACCTCAGGTGATCTGCCCACCTTGGCCTCCCAAAGTGCTGGGATTACTGGCGTGAGCCACCGCATGCAGCCACCTTATGTTTAAACAAACTTTTTTGGAAAACCTTCTGACAGGTTAGAGTTGCTGATCTGATTGATAGGCTTGCTCCTGGCTAGTTTCCTGTTGGTTACGGAAGCTGGCTATGGTTCTCCAAAAACCATGTTCATAGAGGTGAGCTGCAGGAACCTCATTGATCTGTACTTGCTTTTATCCTAAAGTTTCACAGAGGTGATAAAGTGACATTCTGCCTCAGAAAGAGTTGCAATTGTTAAGGACAATATTGTATTTCCTTTGTATTTTGGCCCCATTTGCACTTCTTACAGAATTTTAGTTGTCTCAATGCCAAACAGCTGATGGACTTTGAAATCGTTCTGCAATTTTCATCTTTCCATACTTCTAGCTCATTGCGTTTTAAAAACAGTCTCCCTTGGGGAAAAAAGCCACAGAATGCTCCTAGTATCTTCTGCAAATAAAGGACCCACCCAAAAAATTCAGGTGATTCTTTAAAGTCTCATGTTCCTCACTCAGAGGGTTCTGATGACTACGTTTGCAAAAACCACCGCAGAAACTTCCGGTGGCCTGGCAGGACCTTTGAAAAAGATCATCTTAGCAAAGCAAAGCAAAGGACAGGGCTGCTCTGTACAGAACGCAATATATTTGCTATATATTTGCTGCTGAACTTTGCCGGCCTTCTGTTTGGCAGTCCTACAGAGTGCATCCCTTCTCTTTTCTGAGAGAGACAAAGGACAATTTCAGCACAGAAGGCCGTGCACGTTTGCTTGGACATCTATGTCATGACCTTGACCTTGGGAAAGCCAGAGTGGCCTACCTGAAACGGTCCAATCCCCCAGCATCGTGGATGCGTCCCCATGTCCCTCAAGATGCCTGTTCTGGTCTGAGCTGTCCGTAGTGTTCAGGGAAAGCAGGGGTAGCTCAAGAATTTCTCTGTCAAGAGTTTTAGGGCTGCAAGCCTGGTAGGAACTGGGTGGTGGGAAGGTTGGAAGTACTCTGTTTTGACTTTGAATCTGATTTCATAACGTATTAGGATAGACAGATGCGAAATGGAATTGTTAACAGCATGTATTGAGAGGGCGGGAAGAGCTTCTGCAAAGCCCCAGACCTCAGCGCCTACTGCTGAGTTGGAAACCCCTGCACAGATTGGGAGCGCTCCCTAACTCATCCAGAAGTAAAATCTCATGGCCTATGTTACAAAAATGCCACTCATGATAGCAAGTCTTGCACGTTTGCAGCCTTGAGAGCCTAGCCCCAGGCAGAGGTACCTCGCGAGTTTAGGTAACAGGGATCTGTCCTGGGCCCAGATGGCCAAGGTGAGCAGGGATGGCGCTGACGGGGCGGGGCCTGAGGGGAGGGGCCGCAGCGGTGGGCGGGGTTAGAGGGCGGAATTGAAGGCGGCGAGGCGGGGAGAGGCGGGGCTGGACGGGGAGGGGCCGGAGAAGTGGGCGGGGTTACAGAGCGGGATTGAAGCCCTCGGGGCAGGGCGGGGAAGGCGGGCAGGGCGTGGGCGGGGCCGGCCGGCGGGGCGGGGCGCGGCGCCGGGGCTCAGACTCCGAGCAGGACGGCGGGCGGCACTAGAGGGAGCTGCGGCCGCGCCCGCCCAGCCGCGCCGGCCCGGCCCGGAGCGCCGCCTCCCCAGCCAGCGCCGCCGCTATGGCGGAGGACAGCGAGTCTGCGGCCAGCCAGCAGAGCCTGGAACTGGACGACCAGGACACGTGCGGGATAGACGGGGACAATGAGGAGGAGACGGAGCACGCCAAAGGGTAGGGGCGGCGCGCGGGCGCATTGGGCGCGACAGGGCGAGGACCGCGCGCGCCAGGGGCTCCCGCTCCGGTGCCGGCTCCCGGGACTGGGGGCCCCTCGGCCGCTCCGTCCCGCGATGGCTTCGCAGCGGCGCGGAGCCCACGGTGAGGTCCGGGGCGCGCGGCTGGCTCCGGAAGAGGACAGTGTGCGGGGAGGCGAGGCCCGTGGTGGGCGGGGAGGCTGGGGCCCGCGCGGGGACGGGCAACGCGACTGTCACCTGCCGCGCGCCCCCGGCCGGCCTCGCCCATTCCCGCTGGCGGCCTGGCCCTGGAGGCGCGTGCTACCTCGCCCGCGGGTGGCACTGATGGGCGCCGAGGAGAGGCGCGCCGCCCTTCCCTTTGTGGCGGACGCAGCCTGGGGTGGGAGGTCGCCCTCCTCTGCCCCCTGCCATCCTTGTTAAGTGCCTTCAGATTCCCTCTCAGCAGCCGCCACCCGAAAAGAATGGGCAAACGGGAGGGTGGAGCGGCATGGAGGTGCCCCTGGTGGTGTCAGCTGCCGGCGGCGAACTGTGCAAAGTTCTGCCTCCTCGGCCAGGTCGAAGGCGCCGAGGGGATCCTGGGCCCGGCTCCTGCTGGGGACACTGGGCTTTGCACCGCCTCGGGTGTCCCTAGAGCTCTTCAGAGCAGGGCCGACCCCCTGAACCCAGCTCTCGCTGACCTGGCCGCATCCAGTTTGCAAAGCTGGTATTTGATCTCCAAAACTCAATTCACCAGTCCTTTTCACACTTGATTGGATTTCTTAATCCTTTGCATTTGCCCCCTTTCTCCCCTGCAGACTTGATTTGCTCTTCTGTTAGAGAAAAGATTGCTTCAGGTGAAGGCATGTGCTGATGGTCTTTTTAGGGGCAGGGGGTCATTTAAAATAAAAACTGGTGTCCTTTTAAATTGGTGTTTGCATTACCCTTTTACCCTGTTGGATTCAATCTATGCACTGGCCCAGAGCGGTTCTTGCTTACCCCCTTAGAAGTGAGATTTTTCGAACCGTGGTGAGTGATGGAGAAGTGGGTCAGCTTAGAAAACATGATAGGGAGGCCTGAGTCCCAGATGGTTTGGTTCATGGAGAGATTCTTGAAATGATTGATGATTGAAAGTGTAAATCCCTTGCATTCTACTTGTCTACTTGAAGATTTATTAAATATTAAAGGGACTTTTTACTGACCTCTAATTCATTATAAAATAGTCACAAGAAATCAAGGAAAAGAAAAACTATGTGTGTCTCCCATTTCCAAGTTTTTCTTTTTTTGCCGTGAATACTTAAATGTCGGCTGCAAGAAACGAATGTTCGTGTCTAGAATTTTTTTTTTTTTTTTTTTTAAAGAGAGGAAAGGAGATTGGACAGAAATCTGAACCTGACTTCTGTTTGTGCAGCGATAGAAATTTGCTTGTGATAGACAGCTAAATACAAATACGTTTTGAAACAGTAGTTCTAGTGCCAGAAATGGGCCCTGGTGCAGATGCAAGTTGATGGATTAACTTCAGTACCTGTGTTATCTTTCTGCAGAGACCCTGGGCAAGTTTTCTCTACTGTAATTTCTGTTTACTGTCACTCCTTTGATGGTTACTGTAGCTTGGGGGCTTGATTAGGACTTCTTTGCTTACACTGTTTTGAATGTTCGTGGTACAAAGAATTCCTCATCTGTGTGCCCATTGATCTGAACCTGTCCCCTGACACCTTTCAAGAAGCTAAATAAAGTTCCCAGAGTAGCACTCAGAGCCATCTGTGCTGCCTTCAGGAGTTTTCAGTTTTGTCTATTAGCGCATTCATTATATATTAGCAAGGTTAATCAAAATTTAGAGATGCCCCATGGACTGAAATGTTTTCACCAAGGGCAGATAACATGTTAATAGCTTCTAGTGGGAAAAGATTGACATAATGGTTATATTGTACTGTATTTAAATGTAAGGAGATTAAGAAAACTCCCAATGACTGCTTTTGCTGGATTCCTTTTTGGATTTGAATTTAGACAATGTGTGCCAAGTTTGGGGGAGTAATTGTGTTTTATTTGGCTCTTGTACTGATGATATTGCTGTACAAACCTAGGTTTTCTTTAAGTAGCTCAACTTTGGAAATGTTAAAATTTGAAAGACTCTTTCTCTACTTGGCCTCTTCATTCCCATCAGTTTAAATAAATAACAAACAATGAGCCTTTGGATGAATCAGTAAGAACATGTTTCACCTTTTAAAGGCAGTTTGTCAATTTGAGGCCACCAGGCATCAGCCAGTGCAGAGCGGTAATTTACTGAATAGTACCCTTGTGGCCTGAAAGGATTCATTTACCCCACCACTCAGCATAATGTATTTATTAGTCGTTTTAGACATACTAAGTTGAAACTAGAGCCTCAAATAAGAGCAAAATACGTAATTAGAGTCCTGTTTTGTACCAAAATATATATGTAAATATGTAAAACTGCATATGCTTTTCTTTTATTATCATGGAATTTTCTTCACGGACTAAAAAGGGTATTTCATTTTATAGATAATGCTGAGTCCATGAATGAAATATAAGATGTTTTATGTTTAATTAAAAGCAATGGCATAAGTATTATAAAACTCTTGAATCTCACTGTGTTTATATATTGTTTTTCATGGAAAATATTGTTTTACCTATACACATATTAAGTAAAACACCAAATCCTTACATTTGGCAGAAATTGTGAAGGTAACACACAAACGATGAATATAGCAAAACACTGGATTGGAGATCCATCTCCTCCCTTCGTCTTCTGCCATCCTTTCCGTATCTTTTTTCTTTTTCTTTTTTTTTTTT